TATATATATATATATATAAATAATAATCGAAATTCTATTTTAAAATTTAGACATAAATTGCAAATCATTTAAAATAGATTTGAATCTTACCAACGTAAAATTATCAATATGGATTGTACTAAAATGAATTCGCACTGAAAACGTTATAAAGAAGCAGCGTAAAATAAACATAAATTATAAATGCTAGATTGCAGATTAAACTTCGAAATGTGGTTAGTTCGGTGTATCATGTGAAATAAAGTTAAAAGGAGACACATATACACGCAGAGAGAAAGAGAGTGAGAGAGGGGGGGGGAAGATGCAGGTTCTGGGGGTAGCTGTATCATACCAGTAGCTGCATCGATCGTTCTCTACTGACAATACAGAACTCGTCTCCAACGGGTGGACAACGTAACTTTATTGTGTCTGAAAAGTACTATTATATAAATTGCGATAATGCATGCATTATATCTCAAGAATCAGCTATCGCGTGTCGGTACTATTTAATTGATAGCCAATTGATGACATGTCGCATATAGATTTAAAATGACCTGAACACTTATTATACGAGTGAAACTTTCGCGTCCCTTTACATTCTTAATCAATCGTAAATTCTGTTTCGTAGAATATGTACCTTTTAATTGGGGGCACATGTTAACAAACTTTTTCTCTCTCTTTTTTTCTGCCGCAATCAATCTCGAATACTACCCAAGGAAAAATGATACGCTTCCTTTATGTATGACATATATGATCGTGCGATGCAATCGAGATGGTCATGCGGACGTGAGTGAAGCCAAGGGTTGAAGGGATTGTTGAGATTTATTCAAGGTTGAGCAAACCTCACGTGTCGCTTGTCAAAGGCCGGGTTAGTCGCTGGAAAATGAACTCTTCTATATCTCACTGATTATTCTATTTTACGATACACTGAGAAAACGAGACGAAATCGAGCGATCAGGCTGACGATATAGCCGTGCCAGTAATATTCCCAACGCTGTCCAAGGTATGCGTTCTATTTGGTTTAAAATAGCAAAATACTTCATCGTGGCAATGGAAAGGAGAAAGAGAAGAAGAGTGTCTTTGTTTTATCGTATGATTAATTTGTTCAGAGATCAATTGTGATCGATTGCTTTCAATAGCAACGCACATGTGGGATGAAAAGTAACATCTATTTTATTTTGCGTTATCTCTTTTTCAACGTAGGCGCGACGGTGTTCACTTACGAAGTTTCTCCGATGAAAAATTGAGAGTGCTGAAGATTTACAGGCGGAAATATGCCCGGACGATCGCCGGCAAGGGCGTACGAGCGGCCCATTACAAGCGAAGGTCGCGGGTTTGCCGCCACTTGAATGTCATCACGGGAGGTGAGATAATTGCGTAAAGATATTTTGATAATATAGTACGTAACAAAAGCAAAAACCTTCTAATAATCTTTCAGCTATCGAATTTCGGTGTTGTATAAAATTACCCCGAGCTATCTGCAATATTTCTTACTTAATTTATATATCAATAATGCGGAGAAGTTACCTTGAGATATTATCAAATTATCTTATCTTCGATAAATATTATTCTTCAATAAATTAACACTTCTCGAAGCTTTCATTTTGTTACAAGAACAAATGACCAGGGCGCGGAATGGGCGAATCTTGGCTTTCGGTCCTTCTCGCTAGCACGTTGACAACTATGATAATGATGGCGGTGACGATGGCTAATTCATTATCAACGTCGTCTCTATCGACGATTGTTCGTAACGACATCGTGGATTCCAAACGGGTTTGTCTTCATACTTATTTCGTCTAATTATAATATAAAGATCATGGTGAAAGAAGACAGGTGAGACAATGCTCATGACGGCAATTCAAAGCAATCAAATAGCCAATCAAATTTTGGTTCTACTGCGCATCCTTCAAGTTGTCTCACTTGTTTCTTACCACCACTCTGTTACAAAATTTATTTTTACTGCCAGTAGAAAATCTGTAGTTTACGTCATACGCATTGTAGATTTTCAATACTGGAAGCATATCTTAGAAAATCTGTAAAGCTAACCTTCCCCCACCCCCCCCCTCCACAGCGATAAATAAATTATAATACATTTCAAAATTAGGTCCTAATTAGGTGTTAATTAAGCTGAAGTGCGAAATTAGGTGCTCGAAATGTTTGACAGAAAAAAATTATTGGGGAGGGCTAGCTTAACATTAAGTTAGCCTTCTCAATAAAAAAACTAAATATTTATTGCGTAAACAAACAAAACAAATACACCAGAATTAAGTGCTAATTAGCTGATCCAAAGAATGATTAAAATATTTTGAAAAGATATATTATAATATATACAGAATTATATACAGAACTTAGGTGTCAGTCGAACAGTCGGCTTACAAGAAAAAAAATTAGGTGCTGCAACAAATTTGGTATTAAAATGTTTTTTAATATCATTTAAAAATATAAAGTTGCCGAATTAGGTGCTCGTTCCGTTTGGCAGAAATTCGAACTTAAAGGTAGGCCGCGCAATCCTCAATCAGCAAAGAAATATTTCTGAATGTTTTTTAAATGGTTTTTTTTTCATTGTAAAAAACGTTTAATTAATGGGATAAATTCTTTTTTATTAATTAAAAAGATGTTTTCTTTACATTTAAAAAACATTTTTTAAAAAACGTTTATTTAACGTTTGAAGAAATATTTTTTTAACATTAAAAAGCGGTTTTTAATGTTAGTTAGATCTTTATTGCATCCCCTTGAAGTTATAAATATATACAATAACAATAACAAAGTTTTCTTATTCTAAGGATCTGAGCACAAGAATTGTCGTAATACATACTTACTTATAGACTTAAATTGTAGACGTAAGTAACGCACAAGCTTTGGCGTATGACGTACGATTTATTGCCGTCTCTTGGAGATACGGTAATAGTTATACCTTTAACGCATCTTTCTTTTACTTTAACGCATCTCTCTCTTTCTCCCTACGTCTGCACCTTCCGATGTAATATCTCTATATCTCTTTTCCATTCTCAAAAACTACAACTCATCAATCTTCCCCGCAGAGCCTCCCTCACCCCTTCTCCCTCTTACTCCCCCTCTCTCCTCTCTCTCTCTCTCTCTCTCTCTCTCTCTCTCTCTCTAAAATAAAATTATTTGAACGAAATTACAAAGATAATAATGTAGAAACGTTTTTTAAATTTATTTTTTTATCAACAATGTATAAACCTTAGACAACTAATTTTATTAATTATCTCTAATTATATTTTTATCTTTTTCACTTACTAGCCGGGTTTTGAACCTGGGATTTCACCTTGGGTTATGAGTCTCGTATCTTATCCGTTACGCCGTTTGTAATTATCAATGCACACAGTTTTTATTATCCATATATGGTATACTTAACACAATTTTATTGTGTTAATTTCTCCTCTGCGATTATTTTATTATTCCGACCCGTTTTTTATTAATTTGAATTTTAGAAAATAACAACATTTTTTATACACATATTTATAAAAAACGTTAGATAAACGTTAAATAAACGTTCTTCTAAATAAAT